ATTTCGGTGAAGGACCTGCTGCAGGAAGAATTCCGGTGGAGAACCTGCTACAGGAAAGCTCTAGAGAGGCTGATATGAGGAAAAAAAACTTCAAGGTAAGAGGCTCTCAACCGAGGAGGGAATGCAACAATATACTTCCAGCTGCAGAGAAAGTTCCAGTGGCAAAGGAAAAACAGAGGACCTGCATGGAGATTTTGGCCAGCAAGGAAAAAAAGATGGAGAACTTGGTAGATATCGAGTGGAACCATCTCACATATTATTTCATCGATATAATCCTTTTTCATAGCAAACTTCAAGTAGCAAAGGTGATTAATATTCATTTTTTACCACTTCTATATTCCACCCAAATGCTAAAGATTATGATAAGAGATATTGCTCAAACTCTAATTTGTGCGCCAAATTTGAAGAAACGAGTATCTTTTGGCATCTTTCCTCCATTTTTCAAGAAAGAATTGAAGGTATAATTTTCAATATTTTCCTTTTATGCAGTTAGGTACCTGACAATAATCACAAAACTTAATAGAGACCTTGATTTTATAAAAGAAAAAGCCATGAACGGTCTTCTTTTCATTCTTTCTTTTGAAGAAACGGAATCTTTTCAAATAGTTTGAGTCTTCTCCCCTCTAACTTTGACACTTGTACTCAATGAAGAATCATTGTCACGCTGGCCTTTATGAACTGGCTATTGAGATCATGTGGCATTCATTTGCAATTTAAAATTAAAGTTTGAGCTGTAATTCATCAATATTTGAGTTCCCAAAAAGATTTCTTCCTAAAATAATCTAGTAATGTTGGAGCTTAGTGTCGTGGTCTTGCACAAATCGTGCCTAGTATTGTTTCACTTCTTTCATTGACTTCTACATACCCCATTGGGTAGAATTCTTGACATACTAGTTGCATCAGCTTTCCCCAAACCTCCTCTTGATATCAATTCATCCTCAGATGGGCATTACCATCATGCCAGTGTATGACGGCTTAACTTCAATCTAGTGAAGGAAATTTTGTCATTACTGTTATACAAGATTAAGTGAGCCTCAAACAAGTCAATTTATGCATCCAATTTGCAAGCATTAGCCATCATGTCATGCGTGAATCTTCAATTCATTTCTACTTTGTATCATTGCACTTTTCCTCATAATTCTCAATCCCCTTCAACCATATTTGCATTTGACATTGAAGGATGGATATAGCTTGGTTTATTGGTAGCATCCTCATTCACTTTGTCATGGTGGTCATATGTTCTATCAATTTAGTCATGTGATCAGTAAGATTTAGTGTTTAATAATCACTACTCATTTTTTTGTATTTCTTGCCCTTGTCTCTTTCTTTTATTTCAAGGAGTGTCGAAGCCAAGAAATAACTCACCTTTTTCTCTATGTTTTCATGTGTACCATGCACTAAGGATCAATACTATAATACCAACTTGATTTGCATCAAATCACTCAACAACATCACGGAAGCCCATCATGAGAGGCTAGCATAGATTCAAAATGAGAGAGAACTAGAGGAAGTGTAAACAAATAAAGGGAAAGATAAGAGGGAGAGAGGGCAAAAGAATAAAGCGTTCTAATATTTTGGTTCATTCAAAGTTAAATTTGATACAAAGTCAAACCCCCTTTATATAAACTTATAACATGCAATACCTTTTTTAATAATGTCATGATCAACAAGTAAAGCAATTATATATGTATGAAAAATCTAAATTATGCTGAAACAATATATAACACATTCTTAATAACTAACACAGAGGTGACTCTTAACATTCATATTTATCTTACATCATTCAGCAGGTACAAAAAAAACAGCCTTTCTTTGAAAGAGTTGGAAAATGACCACCACAACGATTGCGGTAGAACTAACTTTTGTGCAAATATTGTGCATCTTTAAGTGACAAATGACAACAGTGTTCAATAATGGTGAAAAGTGATGAAAAAATGTCAGTTATCTATGAAGCACAGACACAGACACCGGAACACAGACACGACACAATACAAGGACATGGCATAATTGGAAAAAAAAACGCAATATCATGGATAAATTTTAATATATGACTAATTTTACTATATAATAAATATTTTTCTATTATTCTTTATTAAAGACATCACAAAACAAACTATGCAAGAATAAAAGTTTAACTTTACAAACATAACTAAGCAAAGCAATTATATATGTACGAAAAATCTAAATTATGTTGAAACAATATATAACACATTCTTAATAACTAACATAGAGGTGACTCTTAACATTCATATTTATCTTATATCATTCAGCAGGTACAAAAAAAACAGCCTTTCTTTGAAAGAGTTGGAAGATGACCACCACAACGACTGCGGTAGAACTAACTTTTGTGCAAATATTGTGCATCTTTAAGTGACAAATGACAACAGTGTTCAATAATGGTGAAAAGTGATGAAAAATGTCAGTTATCTATGAAGCACAGACACCGGAACACAGACACGACACAATACAAGGACACAACATAATTGGAAAAAAAAACGCCATATCATGGATAGATTTTAATGTATGACTAATTATTACTATATAATAAATATTTTTATATTATTCTTTATTAAAGACATCACAAAACAAAATATGCAAGAATAAAAGTTTAACTTTACAAACATAACTTGTATTATGAAATTTCAAAAAAAAAATCATCCAATTTATAAACTAAACTTTAAAATATCCTACTTGTTTAATTAATTAATTTAAATTTAAAATTTTAAATTAGAATAAATATAGATTTATATTTATTAACACATCAATTAGTAAAAAAATATATAAATTATCACTTATAAAACTAGGTCAACATTGACTCCATTTAACTTTGACAAATATAAGCTTTAGTGCAAGCGTCACAAAGTTCGTGGGTTATTTGGATTAGCTTCAACAAATAAGTTTGACTCCTGGTAAAGTTACGACAAATAAGCTTACAGCTTCTGCCTTAGCGAACTCAGGTTCGACACTTGGCTTCGATGAACGAAGATAGACCTTTGATGCTCGGCTTCAACAAATAAAGAGAAAACTATTGATGCTCAGCTTCGACGAATATTAGATGTTAGACAAAACTTTGACATGATGAGGGAGGAGAAAACTCCAACTATGAGATATAATTAGAGTTATATGTATATTTATAGTTTTTTTTTATTTCTCGTGTCCCGTTTTCTCCAAATTGTGTCGAGCTCATGTCTTAAATGGTGTCGAGGCATATTCGAAATGTGTTCGAACCCTAAAAAAATTTGATATATATTTTGTAGAGTCTGACAAGTGTCAGGGATGTCGAACAAGTGTCATTATTTGATATGTATCCGACACGGGTGTGACACATACATAAATAAAGATAAATTAAAATTGGGGAGCATAGCGAATGCCCTCCTAATAGAATTAGAGTTAGAATTAAAAGCTTGAGGTAAATATATAACCATGTTGAACGGGACCGTTGTATGAATTCTACTGAGTATAATTTACAAGTGAATGATTTTTATACAAACATTAATCTGGCTTGAGTATTTAGTCTAATGAAATTAAGCTAATGAAATGTGACTGATGATTATTATAATTATCACTATCAAATCATTCATATGGATGATAATAAATTATATCAAAAGGGGCTGGTGGGAGGGATGAAAAATTAAGGAAGATAATTGTTTTATAGAAGCAAATTTAGATTAATTTTTCTGCATAAATCAGTCTTTAAGTAGCAAAATTATAGCATTGATAAATCTAATGCATTCCTAAATAAATTTCACCAAATAAAGGAAATTCTATTTACATAATAATAATCAAGATATGTTTAAGCAAACTATATATCCAGCAGTAAATATCCTAATCTAAATTTAAATTCAAACAGAAATTTATCTAAATAAGTTAGAAATTCAAATCCATCTTTATCTTGCCATAATCTAAAATTTAGTCAAATAAACTTACGACTCACAAGTTCCAAAAACAAGGCTATCCATTATCTTCGAAGAGTAGATTTCCCCAAAAAAGAGGCTAAGAGATCAGTCCCATGATTGAAAATATGAGTTCAATGATCAGTCCCATGATTGAAAATATGGATTTCTCCAAACATGAATCATACCATATGCAAACATGAGCTCAATGATCAGTCCCATGATTGAAAATATAGAATATATGATCAAATTATATTTTGAGTGTATGTTCGTACCCTATTCAGACCATCTAATAAAAACATGGGCGCAAATTATGTTCGAACCTTGTTTGAATCATGATCAAATAACACTCAAACATGGTTCAAGCACTAATCGAAACATAATCTTTTCATATTGCCAAAACATGTGCAATCATGTTTCAAACAAAATTTGACAAAAGTGATGCAACACAAGACATATTTTAACAAATAACCAAATAAACTCTCTGACAATCTTTCTAGATTTGCAATATATCAGCGTCAAAATGACCTAATTCAATACACACAATGAAAATGTCAAATAAATACTAAGCATGCAAGCCTGAGTTGCTAATGAACAGAGATATATCCAACTTCACTAGCGGTCTTTGTATTGCGATGAAACCAATGGAAGAATGTTCGGTGATGACAACAATGGAGAAAGCAAAAGTTAGAAGAGCAGGACATCATTCCTCCTATGCAACAAAATATAAGTATCAAGGGATGTTTTGATCTAAAGTGAACTTTGTTGTTGCATTCCAAAAAAATTATTGTTTAAGCTTTTTGTTTTTTTTTATATACCCTTCCTAAGAAATTCTCTTTAAAATCAATGATTTTTCATGTATAAGTTCATATACAAATACATGTACATAATACACATATGCCTACACATATACATATATAAATATGAACAAATGGAAAATAATGAGAGTTAGAGGCTTCACAATAGATACTCGCAACAATGAAAGAGAGGAAAATGGTTAAAATCACTATCGAACAGTCTTCCGGAATATAAAGATCTCAAGGACATATAAAAAGCATTAGCAGGTAAAACAAATAAAAAATCTCTTAGACAATGTGAATCAGTAACTGGAAAACAGATTATTCAAGATAAAAAAGAACGTAAAAAATAACAGAGTACGGAAATACAAGCAATCAGCATGACTTGAGATGACAATAATGCCGTCATTCCCATGGTAAGAGAACAACCAGCTACCGCTACCTCAGAAATAACTACGCTCTCCTCACAAGAAGAATGATTGGGCAGGTCACGCAAGACCAACATAGAACGAAAAAGCCGCAGTAACAAGAAAATACCACCGATGTAAATGCTTAAAAAGATAAATCTTCGAAGATGGTGAAACCTTCAAAATAAAAAGGTCGTTACTCTAACGATCATCTATTGGATTCCCTTTCTCTTCTGCACAGCTAACTAATCAACTCAAATGATGATAAAAGACATTGTTCAGATAGAAGAGGGCAAAAACCAAACCACTGGATGGAGCCTCAACATCAGATCAGCATAGTAGTCAGTGCGATCACGACCTTCAGACCTGGAGATCGTTCTTCCGGCCCATCACATCGCCTTCCCTCTCCTCAATAAGTTTATGGGCATCCTCATCGTCGGGCGCTGTCTTTTTCTGGGCCTCCTTGGCCTTGAGACTCTGAAGCTTGATATGATTGTAGTACGCCACCCCAAGGAAAGCTATGCCATAACCAAAAAGATTGATAACAGTGACAGTGTCGCGGATAACGGACCAGGAGAAGGCGATAAGCAGCCAGTCCTTGACGACACCAGCAACATTCATAGTGAGTGCGGAAGTCTTGCCGACGAGGAGGAAGACAGCAAGATTAAGGGCGAATGCGCAGATGGAGTTCGTGCCGAAGATGGGGAAATCGAAGTGGAAAGAGGAGGTGTCGCGTAGAGTGGGGAGTTCTACAATGGTCCAAGGAAGGATGAGGAAGACGAGGCAGCAGGGGGAAACGTAGTAAAGGGTGGTGATAGGATTGAGGGTAATGCCCTTGGAGCTGAGGAGAACCTGGATGAGGACGAGGCGGGTGGCCTCAAAGGCAACTGCGCCAAGCTGGAGCATGACACCCAAGGCATTGAATCTGGCCTCGCCATAAGCAGCGATAGCGACACCCAAGGAAATAGAAAGCATGTTGGTCATTGTGGAGCTGCGGAAAGACTCCTTGTTGAATAGAATGGAAATAGAATAGACGGCTACGGGCATGAGAGCTTTTAGCATCTGGATGAAGGAGACGGAGAGATAGATGTATGCAGAATTGGAAAACCAGAGAGATAAGGCGTATAGAGCTCCGATGGGTACAATGCTGGAAACGTACAGCTCGCGGGTCATGGCCGGGGAGGTAGGCAATTCGACAACTCGGAAAACGCGGACGAGAACGAAGGCAATGAAGGAGCAGAAAGACATGTGTATAATGGTAAGTGAAATGGGAAAGGGCCAATTGTACATCTTAGGATCAAGGATGTATTTGTTGTACACGATCACCGCGAAGCTGAGGAAAATCCAGATTCCCACATAGAAATAGGAAAGCAGAATTTTCTTCAACACCCCCTCAGACATACCGGTTCCCGACGAGCCCTCGCGCCCCATCGCCGTTCTTCTATTCCCTTCCTCCTCTCCTCGGACGGATCAATCGATGGAACTGCCTCTCCGTCTCCCTCTCCTCCTTCGTATTCCGGGCCGATCTGTTAGGCGATCGACCGGAATCCACCGCGAGAGAGAGCGCGATCGAAGCACAAAACCCTAACTGGAGACCTAATTCAACGGCGAGGGAGGAGGAGGAGGAGAGAGAAAGAGATTTTGGAAATTGAGAGCGAACTAGGAGACTGTCTGCATTAGAAGAAGAAGGGCAGTGACATTGGCTCATTCGACATATTCTACCTATTTATAATATATATTATCTTGTCTGATTTGAACAATAGCTTTTTTCTTTATAAATTTAAACTCTTAAACCTCACCTGATAACATTTTAAAAGATTAAAACACCACAATCCTTAATTATTTTTTTAGGGTCGTTCAGCAGATGGATTTGTCAAAACAGTCTTCATTTATTTTAAAAATGAGTTTTTAATAGTTTATTATGAGGATTAATGTGAATATTTTAACACTTCTATAAATTTTTAGGCTATGATTATGAATTTAGCTCTAAAACTGCTAATTACATCAAAATTAATTTAAATTTTAGCTGAGTTTGAGTTCGGATCGAAATAAATATGCCGAGCTATAAGTCAAAACCTATCTTCGAGCCATACCCAAATTGGCTCGAACTGACTTCATATAAACTCTAATAATATTTTATTTATAAAAATTATATGTAATGCTAAATAAAATCAAATATAACTAGCTACAAGTAATCCAAATAACTCCATTGAGCCATCTTGTTTTGATTTTGAGTTGAATCGAGTCAATTTCAAGCTGGAATAGATCCCAATAAGTCAAATTTGAGTCAGCCCGTTTTGATTTCGAACCAGATCAAGCTCAATTCAATTTCGAATTCAACTGGCTAGAAATAGAACATAATGTGCCGCATATCGATTTCGATATGAAGTCAATTAATTCGAACCCATTTCGAGCCAAACCCTATCCACTACAAATAATTAAGAACTAATTAACATCATTTTGCTCCTATTGGGCCAAATAATATGATTTTGTGGCCCATGTTGGGAAAAGTTTGTTTAGGCTGCATTTTTAATTTCAGTCGCATGTCGTTAACGAAATGATGACATTGTGTTTGAATATGCTGCGTATGTTGAAATTGATGTAAAGAATTATAAAGATGTAGTCCTTGAAAGCTCATATTCATTCCAGAATTATTTTGTTTATGTCATACAAGCTGGGGATGATTATATTTCATAAGTGATAAGTATTTAATATAGTAGAAGTTGATAGTCAAAATATGACCTCATAGGATCATAGTATAATAGGTATTTTGAGTGTACGAATTCAAACAAATATTGAAAGATGATTAATGACGGCTATAATCTTTTAGATTTATATTCGATTTATGTTCGTTTCGTGTCGAAAAATTCGCGGTGATATAGTGATTTATCGTCTTAATATTGTATACGAAAATCAACACCCTCAAGGTGTAGAAAATTTCATGGGTGTGTCATGACGAGCTGTCCCTCGGCGACTAGTTGCACGTAATATTTTCTCTAGATGAAATGGTCTTAGTGCGCATTCATTATAAATAAAATTTAATCGGAGACGCCAATTACTCAAGTATGAGTAAAAAAAAAAAAGAAGGTTTAGATTTATATGATTAGTTTTTAGGCCGAGGTATAAAATTCTAACTTTTTTCTTTTTCTATTGGGTTCGGATTGAGACGTTCACCCAAAATTTACTTGAATATGACTCGCGAGCTCAAAATTTGACCCGAACTTAACTTGAAATTAACTAAATGTAGGCCCAAATAAATTTTATGTATATGTTAAATGGGTTATATGAGTCGTGTTCGAGATAGTCCAGTTGAAGATGACTTGTATTCGCGTTAGATTTTGTGACCCATTTAAAATTTCGGCCAGTTTCGGATCAAGCAATTTCAGGTCGGGTCAAATCTGAACCTGACTTATAAACTTAATTTTAAACAGTTAACAAATATTAATCATGTATGCATGTCAAATTAATTTTTTTTTTAGTACCGCTTAAAATTTTTTTATTTTATTGAATTGCAAAAAAAAAAAAAAAAAAAAAAAACCCACAGAAAAAGAAAAATTTTAAAATATGAAGAAAAAAAATTAATAGAGAATACTAGTCAAGTAAATCATAATTTTTTACTCATAAATTTCAATAATAATGCATAACTCCTTTTTATTGCTATTTACCTTTACAACACTCGAAATATTGCTATTTACATATCCAACATTAGATCTCATCTATTTTTCTTATTGTTACTCAAATATGAAAATTAATGATAAAATATCATAAGCCGGAACCATATCAATGATTTGATCATAGCACACATAAATGTATCAGTTTGATATTTTAAAAAAAAAAAAAAATCATCCAAATTTTGGTTTTGTAAATAACAATTTTTGTAGTGTTATGTATGTAAATGTAAATTCTTAAATTCCCTGTTCAACATCTTTGTTATGCCATAATAACTCAAAGAGGCTAGGAGCCTGAGTGTTGCTTGGTCACATACTATTGATAGGAATTATGGTTAGATTTAACATAAATCCAGCCAAACACCAACAAAAATCAAAATTGAAGTCCCACAATTCGTTACATCCAATTTTCGCTTGTTTCATAAGCTTTTGATGTAAATTTGGATTTATTAAATCCTATTACGAGGATAACTTAAGTGATTTAGTGGAGGAAGAGAAACACATGCGCGACTCTGTTCTCTTCCTTAGTCAGTATGAGAGCTCCGCCAGGGAGTTTTCAACGGAGAAGAAAGGAATGTGACACTATATACACAAATAGGTGTATATGAAAATTTTAATTGATTTTTATCTCACGGACTCAAGCTCATCTGCCAAACTGTTAGAATTAAGTTCATTTGTTGAAGTGGTTGAATCAGCGGTTGAGTAATGGATTATCATCTTAGCATTGTACAAAAATTCAACACACACTCAGATAAAAGAAGAGAAGTAAGCAGGAGGAGACATCTCAACTTTTTTCGTGAAAAACCCTTGAAAGGGAGAAAAACCACAGGGCTTGCCCAATTGAAATAATATATTATGAATGATGAATATACATGTCAATTCTTCTCATGAATTAGAGAAAATATAATTACAAAGTTGTATACCATGACCTAGTTGTAGTTCTTGGAAATAAGAGGCTGCAAGTGTCATAATTGATTGTTGTGGAGGTGATAGTCCATCCTGAGTGTTGTAGATAGTTGTTCAAGGATCATTGATTGGCTAGAAAAGCCATAATATGCAGTTTGGGGAGCTGTGGACCACGTAGGTCTTAGTCCATCCTGAGTGTTGTAGATAGTTGTTCAAGAATCATTGATTGGCTAGAAAAGCCATAATATGCAGTTTGGGGAGCTGTGGACCACGTAGGTCTTAGTTTGTTACATAGAAAATAGTGGTGAGTAGTAGTGACGTTTGTAGACCGTGAGAATCAGAGTCGAGAGCCGCACAAGCTATGAAGCACACTGGTTGTAGATGGTCACATAAGTCGTAGTAGCAAGTAGCAATGTTGTCCGTAGGCACGGGGGTTGGAGTCGGGAGCTACACAAGCTGAGGACCACGTTGGTGGTAGCTGATCACATAGGTCGTTAGACTGTGGGGTCCGGCGTTGGGAGCTGTAGAAGCTGGGGATCACATATGTCGTTGTTAGCTCATTATCCATAACGGTGAATTGCGATGATGTTTGTAGGCCTCGAGGGCCAAGCTAGGGAGCTCAATGAGTGTATGTGTGGTGTCTTATTACACCATCTTCAAGATGCATTGTTGTCACGTCTTAAGGGTGACATCCTGGTGTTCAGGATGATGCCTTGTTTTGCATGTTGCTCCTTGACTCTACGATGTCAGCTGTTGCTCCACACGGTACTCATCGCAAGGAGTGGGCAGCAGACGATGTTGAACAGCGAGTGGTGGTCGACGACAGACGTTGATTAGTGATCGATTGTGAAGTGACATAAAACTTTAGCCCCTCCAAGCTTCAAGTTCTTCCTCAAGCTACCTCCTCCTTTCAATAGAGGGGTATGACTCTATTTATAGAGGTCCGAGTGCAATTAATGCAGGAATATGAACCACTTTGATCAGATGGTTAGAGAACTTCTTTTAATCAGATGGTGTTTAATGAATGTTTGAGTGTCTTAATAATGTCAGAATTGAACAATCTTAGACTTGTTGGATTCTTCTTATCGAGATACTCAATTCAATTATAAACTCGTTGGATTTGACATTCATTTGACCACTCATATCTGTTTGGAAAATTTCTGAACATAGTTTAATGATTTGATTTGAATTGGACTAATTTTGATATCCTTAGGTCCGTCTTGTCGAGCTGGTCATTTTGACTGTAAGTTTGCTAAAATCGAGCTCAAAATGATTTTTTATCAACATTTGAATATTTCTTGTTAAAAAGGTTATCTCGAAATTCATGCTATTCCTCAAGATGCGTGTCAGATAGTAGAGATTGTTGAAGGCGGATCAGAACTCACCTATAGAAGTGATTGAATCGAGCTCACCGGTTGAAGTGACTGAATTAAACCTATTTTTCCGAAGTGACTAAATCAATCTCACTTGCCGAAGTGGTTGAATCGAATGCACTTGCCGAAGAAGCAGATCCAGCTCATCGCCATTTTCCTCGAGAGGATGACTTAAACCTATCCTGTGAACGTTGTGATTCAAGAAAGTCATCATGACCAACCAGGACATCCGTCAATCTATCATTTATCGTGAATGGCTTTCGTACTAGCAATATCTGACATAGCTGATAATACCTCATATTCATGATATTTACATTATATAAAAGCATCAAGGAAAAGTGAACAATACAATCATTGATATATTACTTGGTCAATTTTATAATCTTTTTATCTAAAGTATAAAAAGGGCAACAAGAAGAAAGAGAGGGATCAGGACTCTGCTTCTTTTCTTGAGAATTCTCTCTCTCCCTCTCCAAAAGTCCAAGGAGCCTTTCTCCGGCTTACTGGTGATTGGAAATAGGGCTGCTAAAACGGCTTGTTGTTCGCAAACAGCTCGTGTTCGGCTCATTAAGAAGATGTGTTTGGCTCCCTCGCTAAGTTAACGAGCTCAATATGAAGAAGGGTTTGTTTGTTCGTGTTCACCTCGTTTTGACTCGAAATTGTACTCATCAATTATGTATACTTACATGCATACATATAGACCTACACACACACTCATATATATATATATATATATATATATATATA